AATTAGCATGGCAACCACTGCATGCACAGTCACACTGACACACGAGGTGTGTCCCCAGGGATGAAGCAGAAAGGAACCTCCTGATTTCAGCAGTCACTGCAGTGGGGCAGAACATGGAAAGTGCTCCAGCAGCCAAGCTTCCAAAAGAGCCAATAACACATCAGGCACAGAACAAGACAGCCACGAGGTCACTGATGGCTATCAAGAACTGAAACATCACCTTCAGCCATCCCAAAAATCCCCTCAACGCTTTAGAACCTGTGGGACAGAAGCACAATCCCTGTGCCCACTCTCAGCGCAGGACGGTGCAATCAGCACCAAGGTGAGTTTCCAGGGAAGGACACAAGGTTCTCCCGCTGCTCTTGAGCAGCCTGACATATCCTCTGGGAAAGGGCGAAGGTATTTAAGCAGAGATCAGTGCTCTTTCTCCCATTATCTTCCTTTTCTGCTCCACGTGCCACGCTTCACATCCTCACAAAGCCCTCTGTGCCAGGGAGCGCAGCAGCATTCGAGGAGAGCGACATCACTCCAGGCTGTGCCTCACGAGGAGCCTGTGGAAGGGGCAGCCAGGCCCACCCAGGCCTGTCCAGCCTCTTCCCTCTTCACTATGACAGACACGCTCACACACACCCCCAAAAGGGGACCCACTTGTGCCCACATCCACAGTGTAACATAGATTCCCTCAACAGCACTGAAAGGGTTATTTACCAAAGCACATTACAAAGATGTCAGCAAAGTATTTCTTATAAAGTCTTGGTTCATGCAGTCACATGGTGTCTTCCTATGTAGAAAAGGTACAGAAAGAAATGTGGTCAATAGGCAGCTGTCACACCCAGGACATTCCCACCTGGGAAGGGTTGAGCCTCTCCTGCTCACATGAGCTTGCCAAGCCCAACACCATAACACTGAGCTAAAAATAAAGATTCTGCTGCAGCAGAGCACAACTTTTCCTACAGTTATGTTGGGCCACTGTTGCATGTGAGCTGTGTAGCTCCCAGGGACAGCAGGCACCAAGCTCTCAGTTTCAGGTTCCCCACGAGCCAGCTGCAGGAGGCTAAACCTGACCTGTCAATGTGGTGCTGCAATTCAGCTCCGTTAGGAAGTTTCTATTCCCAGGAGGCACAGCAGATAATTCTGATGATACTTGGACAACCCAAGAAAAATAAGTTATGCATGCATGCTGCCTGCAAGAAGGGCATGGAGTGTCACAGGAGGACAACAGAAACAGAGGAGATGGTTTGTCAGGGAGAGCAGTCAGAAGGGAGACAGGTGAGCACGGGCTGGGAGAGCCCATCAGCCCCGTGACCGCCCTGCCCTCGTGCCATGGAGCCTCGCCCTGTGCCTCTGCCACGGAACAAGATCCCCGTGTAAGGCCTCACTCATGTGTGTGTCAGGACAGGAACCTGGGCCGTGGGCACAATTCCAGAGCGGGATTCGGCTCGGAATCCCAGGATGGGCTTTGCCCTCTCAGTGCCCAGGCACACGCTTGCTCTGGCAGAACTGCTGCCGACCGGCGCCCGAGTCGCTTGGGTTCCTTTCCTGCGTGCCGCGCCCCAGCTGCTCCGCTCCCCGCGCAGACTTGTGCCCAGCACCACCTCCCCTTGGGAACCCACGTATTTTCAGGTTTATTAGAGGACGCAGCTCAGCCCAGGCGGCTGGCGCTAAACTATGACCGTAAGTTGGCTGCGGCAGCGGCCGCTCGGCCAGGCCAGGCCGCCCCTTCCCGGGGCCCGACACCGGCCCGAGGGCGTGGCCAGCGCGGGCCGCAGCCAATGGGCGCCGCTGCCGGTGATGTAACTCTCCCCGCCACCTGCCATTGGCCGGCTTGGGCGCCCCGCAGGCCCCGCCCCGCCCCGCCCCCCCGGCACCGCCCCGGTCCCGGTCCCGGTCCCGGTCCCGGTCCCGGTCCTGGGGCGCTCGGGAGGGCCTAAGGCCGCTTCCACCGGACCAGGAGCAAGCGGCCGGGACGTGCGGGGCCGGCACGGCCAGCGCAGGCCGTCCTGCCGCTCCAAGACCGTTCCGTGCCCGGGACCGGCAACGGGGGCACCGTCTCGCCGAAATCTGCTCGTTTGGGTAAACAGGCACCGACACTCCCCGGCTCACAGGCAGCTCGCTCCCCACGGCTCACGGGCCCTCTCTGCACTGCCTGCACAGCCCCACCTCTGCTGCAGCGAGGTCATCACAAACAGTCGATGGCTAGCAAAATATAGTCCATTTTTTTTAAAAGTGAGGCCAGGCCACTGTATTCCCAAGTGCACATCCAAGCACGGTGCTCAGAGCAAAGCGGGAAAGAGTACCTGGGGAGCAGCAGAGCACAGGCAGCACACAGTCACTCCGCCCATTCCTCTCCATGGTTATCACATCTCCTTGCTTCCACGGTGCCACCTAACCCAGCATTCAGGAGATACTGCCATGATAAAGGATCAGGATTGCATCACCGAGGAGAGGTCAGCACCTCCCTTTTCCACCCCCTCCCTTCGAGGGGTATCAAGTAAGAGCCTGCCCATGTGCTGCGCTGACCAGAAAAACCGGTGCAGATGGAGTCGTCACACCTCCCCAGGACAAGGGGCACTTTGCTCTGGGATGCTCAGAAAGTAAAGCTGTTATTCAAATAAATTTCATGCTGGGACAACAGCAGTGGGAGAATTTACTCTGGGGAGCAGATCAGTCCAAATGCTGAAGATGGCAAAGAGAGTCTGATGTCACGCGGTTCAGGGAACAAAAGCCTCTCCGCAAGCTCAGGGCTCATCGAGCCACAAATTCACATGTGAAATCCTGAGATACACCAGGATTTCAGTGCAGGGTCACAGCAATGTGTGTTACTCACTCCTTGTCAGAGAGCAGTTGGTGCAGCCCTCACTGGTGAGCAGCAGCCCCGAGCTCACCCAGATCACCCAACAACAATGTCCCTGACACCCATCCCTCAACCTGCGGGGTGGAGCAGAGCTCGGATCTCTATGGCAGCCTGAAGCCACAAGCCAGTCATTTAGCCACGCTGAAATTTCAATTAATTTCTTGTGTCTGGGTCCTAATCTGTCTGCAGAGGGGGGAAGTCAAATCCAAAGAAAATACTTGAGCCTCTCAAATCTTACTTGACATGTAGGAGAGCACAGAAAAGCCTGGAAGGAAATTTCTCTTTCTGTGTCAAAATGATCAGTACCAGATAAAACACACTGAAAGGACGACACAAACAAACCAGCTTTGGTCTCCAACATATGCCAGTTCGGCACAGAGCACAAGATAAAGCACTTCAGGTAAGGAATATATTGTGGAGGGCAGCACCAGAGCTTCACATTGACACCCTCTCCTTGTAACTAATCTGCACAGCCCCACCAGAAAAGGTACATTCTGACCACACCATGCCAGGGCTTGGCTCATGTTAACCCAAACCACGATAGCTCTCAGCAAGCAAAGGTGAAGAACTGTGGGGAATCCCTGACCTTACTTTGACCTCCAAATTCACACCAGAACAAATGACTCTAACCACCACCAGCGTTTGCACTGCCCGTGTCTGCAGCGAGGGACAAAGCAGACAAACGCCCGTGCTCAGCACTTGTGCCGCAGCGCGTTGTCTGTCTGTCAGCACCTGCCAGGGCTGCACAGCCTGCCCAGCCAGGGCAGGGGCACTGCGCCAGCACAGAGCAGCAACCAGTTCGTGCAGACAGCCCCCAGTAAGAAAAACAGGACCCAGCAACGAGCGGAAAAAGGGAGAGGTCCCAAACAACACGATCTAATCTCCTTGTGCCTTCACGGCGCACACTGCCAGCACAAGCATCGAGCAGTGGGGGCAAGTAGGACAGGTCACCAAACGAGCCTGTGTGAGCTGACTGTGCTTTATCCTCACTGCAGAAGCCCAAGCAAACCAAAAGCAAGGATTCAAAAGCTGATAAGCCTCGGTGGCAGGTACTCCCCAGCAAGCACCAAGGACTATGTAGCTACTGCTCTTCACCATTCCCAGAAGCAAAGATCCACGAAACGCGAGCCACTCCCTGCTCCACAGCAGCAACAGCTGGCCGCGACACCGGCCTGCGGCAGGCGAAGGCAGCACCGGCTGCGCTCCAGCCGGGACGCTTCGGGCACGAGGAACGGCGGCCCCTCGGCTGGCAAAGGGCCACCCACCCCCCTGCCTCTCGGGAGCGTGACGGACCTCCGGCCCGGGGCCCGACTGACACGGGGACAGGCGGCAGAAGGACCCAGCGGGGCGGGACAAGCGGCTGCCCGAGCCCCCCCCGGCCCGGTCCGATCCGCACTCCCGCCTCGGGAACCGGCCCCCGGCACTGACCTCCTCGCGCCGCTTCTGCCAGCGGCCGCACGGCGACTCTTCCAGGATCTCGGACTCGTCCTCGCTCTCCTCCTCCTCCTCCTCCTCCGGAGGCGCCGCGGAAGTCACCGGCGCAGACACCGAGGTCATCCCCGGGCCAGACGACGCGGGCTCCGGTTTGGGGTCCGAGCCGCTGCTCGGCACCTGCTTGGACTCGCCTTCCGACATGCTGCGGTCGCACACCCTGCGGGAGAGGCGCGGCCCGTGAGGCGCGGCGGGAGGCCAGGCCGGGCCCACCGGGCCGGACCGGACCGGGCCGGGCCGCGCCTGCCAGGCCGGTCAGCCGGGACCGCGCCCCGGGCCTACTGGCAGCGCCCGGCCGAGCCGGTGGTGGGCGCGGCGGGGGGCGAGAGGCGGGGGCCGCACACTTACCGGGCCTGCGGCACCTCCTGGCCCCGAGCGCGTCCCCGCCGCAACCGCCGCGCTGCGTAACGCGCCGGGCGGGGCGGGGCCTCCACGCAGCCAATCAGCGCCCGGAGCGCCGCGTCAGCGCCCGCCAATGGCCGGCGGGCGGGGCCCCGCGAGGAGTCGAAAGGCAGGGGGCGCTCTGCGGGCCGGGCCGGGAAGGACCGTGAGGGGGCGGGGCCGACCCGTGCGGCAGCCAATGGGAGCGCGATAAGGAGCCGCCAGCGCCGCTGATTGGTTGGTGTTCTCGGCAGAGCGCATATAATGCGCCAGGTGCGCGCGAGCCCCTCTCTGGGGAAGGGGCAGGTCTGGCACCGGTCCCCGGGAGGCCGCGCGGCTTCAGCCGGTACCGAGTCCCCTGTTCCCCCGAAGGAGCTACAAGGCAGCTCGAAGCCAGCGGCAATCCGTGTAGGACGTCCCGAGGCGGAGCGGGCCGCGGTGCCGCTCTGGCTGCCTCTCTATGGTCCGCGCTTCCGGCGGCCGCGCTTCCGGCCGCGCGACTTCCGGTCGCCGCCCGCCGGTGCGAGGTCCTGCCGCCCCCGCGCTCCGCCCGCGCCCCCCGGTCCGGTCCGGGCCGGTCGCCACCGACCGAGGCCGTCGCGGCCGCAATGGGCGCCTACTTGTCGCAGCCCAACACGGTGAAGAGCTCCGGGGACGGCGCCGGGCTCGGGCCGCGCCCGCTGCACTTCGGGTTTAGCGCCATGCAGGGATGGCGCGTCTCCATGGAGGTGAGGGGCTGAGGGCGCCGGGTCTGGCGGGGCGGCGGCATTCGCCCCCAGCCCTCCTCGGGGTCCTGCGCCGACAGGCCCCGACGGCGAGGGGGTCCGGGAACTGCCGAGGGCGAGGGAGGGATTCTGCCTCTACTGGTGCCGCCCCAGCCTTCCCCGAATGCCCTACGGCAGCCACGTGTCCTGGCTCCCACGGGGAGAGACCCCGCGGTTCGCGGGGGCACGTGCGGCTGGAGAAATTCCCGCGAGCAATGACGAATTCAGGGTAAAAAGCCGAGGGAAGGAGCGTTTAGTGCTTGGGGCAAAGCGCGGAGTGAAAGCGAGGGGGAAATCCTGAGGGAAAATGTCTGAGTTTCTCTCCTGAAATGAAATGTGAGTGTGTTGCTGTGCTCCTTCCCTGTTTTTATCTATTTCTAGGAAGATTTGTAGGAGGAATTCTGCTGGTTGCTCTTAGTCTCCTACAGCCAGTCCTGGCTTTGCTGGGCTCAGTGTGGGCAGATGAGTTACCCCCAGGCCCACACCTGGTTGAGGATCCAGGCATGTGCCCGCACTCCCCCGTGCAGGAGCTGCCCTGTGAAGCTGCTGGTTGGTGTGAGGGCAGAGTGGGGCTGCTGACCCTGCAGGGCTGTGGGCCTCACACCCTCTGGGAGTACCAGTAATGTGCTGGCTCGTTTTCCCTTCTGGGCAGCCAACACACAGCTGAATTCAGGAAGAATTAACCCTGGTCTCTGGAGCCCCCCAAGTCTCACCTCTCAGTGTCTGGTTCATGGCTCTGTGGCTGCTGGGGGGGGTGTCCCATTCAGGCTGTCAGGGGTTCGTGAGCCTGTTGTCAGACACTTCACCACTGCTGGAGTGGGGCAGCAGTACAGGTGACAGACCACTGACCAGGTGCTTCCTCCCTTCTGCATGTGAAACCCAGAGCTCTGGTTCTCAGGGTAGAAGGTGCAGAATTGGTGCTTATGCTATTG